TCAGGGTAGATAAGGCCCTTCTGGATAGCAGAATGTAACACAAACAGCCTTTGTTTTCTCTACCAACAGCTTCCCTAATTAACTTGATAAATTTGTTGTGAAGATTTTCTGTGAAAGTGCCTGGGGAAAAAATATTAAGGGGGTCGATATGGAAATTTGTGGCTAAGGAGAACCTATGGACTCCAGGAGGCTTGAATGTGATATGTCAGTATACTACTGTTAACTTTGTCCCTAGATCTTCCTCTCCTTGCTGTGTCCTGGAGAATCTCCAGAGTATATTGCACAGCAGGATTAGGGGACTGAATATGGAAATCTTACTGTACTAATAAGGAAGATACACTGTTTTTCTCAATAGACTGTGTTGTCACTTTTCTGCCCATGTTAGTCAGTTCCCAGAAACTTCTTCAGGATACAGTTTAATCAAAATTCATTCCAAAAAGTCCTCAGTTTTGCTTTCCTTCACATAGATTTAACTCCTACTGAAAACATGGGCTTTTATAAACCATTTAGATTACTAAAAACATACTGCAAGCAAACGAACAAACAAGACCCTCCAAAAACCTATTTCCCCTCATTTGATGACTAATGGTACATTTATAAGGACCATGTCTTATTTTGGCTATTATCTTGGGCGGATAGTCTGTTTGTGCTTTGGCAGATAAATAAGCTTTCCCAAATGGTTTTAAAAAAGTCTGCTGTGACCTCTCCCTGTAAATACTGAATCATTAGTAAGCAAAATTAATCATTTAAAAATGCATATTAATTAGGTTATCACACTATGAATAAATTTTACACACACCAGGCAGCAAGGAAGAAGCTTTTTCAAGCTCTTACTTGAATAAAACTTGGTTCTATTATTTCTTTATAAGAAAGATCTTGTGTTTTATTGTGTTTTCTTCCTCCTTCCTGATGATAGAAGTTGGTAGTGTGTTTCAGGAGACTGGTATTTCACCTGAAGCCTTGAAAGAGGAGTCAGCAGTGCTCTGCTGTCCTTTAAATAAGCTCTTCTTGGCATCTGATTTGAGCCAGCAGAAATACAGTACATTTCTAGGAATGAGAAGATTCTACCTAATTTATGAAGAAACCATCACTTTTTTAGGTCACACATGGCATAATACTTTTTTTTTAATTCTCCCTCAAGGCATGTTTCAAATAGTTACTCATCACCGCGGTATAATACGTCTGTGGTTTCTCTAGAGAAAATAATGTTGGGTTGCTATCTTTAACATCTTGGGGCTAAATTCATTCTTTTGTGACCCTGTTCTAAACAACAGCTTTTCATCTGAGATTACATTTTGCCCTCTTACTTCAGTCCTGCCAATTCATTATTCTAGACTTAAAGAGATTAATTAAAGCACCCAAAAGAAGTAGATGATAGGATATCATGTAGCTTTGCATGCCTAGGGTAAGAGTCTGAAGCTAATTTTCAGAGTTTACTTCCAAGAAGTGAGGTAATTGTTTAGAAAGACAATCTTCTTGGTTGGACAACACACAAATGCAGCCATTTAAGTTAGTTGCAATTTTTGCAGAGGAAAATTCCTGTTTCCTGCTGGAGTCATTCATTATTTTGAAAGGGACCCTCCCAGTCCTCTGATATTTCTAGAAATACCAGTTTGAAGTAACTGCCTTTGCTGTTATGCGTTAGTCAACAGAGGGCACTCTCCTCCTTTAACATAGGAGAAAGAAAGTGTGGCTTAAAAATAGAGGCAAAATATTTTTCTTTGCAGTGCCTTTTTTTCTTAAAAAACTTATGAATTATAATTGTGAAATTTGATATGATATAATTCTGTACAGGAATTCTGCCCATCCTGTGTTCAGCGTAGGTTCTTCTCTAGATGATAAATGCAGTGGAATGTCTGCGGTTCCTTTGTGTATGCAAGTGGATGGGGGGGCTGTGTTTCTGGACTGCCTGAAGCAACTGGCCATAACCTCTACTCTCTGAAGAGGCGTACAGTTTTTTCAGTTCGAGCTATTTGAATCCCTGAAGCCAAGCAAAGCTGTTACTCCTCTGATCCTTAAAATATCTGTAGTACAAGACTAATTCACGCTTTGTACAGGAGTGAGGCTCAGCAGGAGTTCTGTGTATCTGTACGCTTCTTAAGTGAGAATTCACATACTGAAACGTCCTTTTATTTATTTTTTTTAAATACACTTACTGTTGTATTGCAATGGCTGACTGTAGTGGTGGATTCCTGTGGGATTTTGAAGTACAGCCATTTATTTTGCTTCAAAATGGAATGAAAATTTCAGCATGTCCATGTATGCATAACATTCTCTTCAATAAATTCAACTATACCACTATACGAAAATATTGGGGAAAAAAATTGCTATTATTCGCTGTACTGTTTCTGAGCACTGTTCTTCAAACACGGGTGCTCTTAAAGCCTGTGATGCGTGTAAAGTAGGAGGAGAACTAGTTAAAAACTTCAGGGATTTACCCTAGCTTCTTGGGAAGTTGCTGTAGAGACACTGGCAGTGGAATTTATTTCTTTTAACCTCTTCTGGTTTCCAGATAATTTTTTTAAAAATTATTTTTCTGTGGGCAAAGCAGGTGGAAGATTCCTTTTAGGAAAGATTGTGAGGGGGCACTTTTAGTTTGTTACCATGTAGTGCAATACTTTGAATACTGTTTCCTGATGATGAGCTTATCAGGCACGTGCTATTGAACCATATGCATGATGAGTTTCCATGTTTACCTGGACATAATTGAGAAGTAGGCCCATGTGAACCTCCTGAGGTTTAACAAGGCCAACTGCAAGGTCCTGCACCTGGGTCAGGGCAATCCCCAACATTGATATAGACTGGAGGATAAAGGGATTGAGAGCAGCCCTGTGAAGAAGGACTTTGAGGTCCTGGTGGATGAAAAGCTGGACATGAGCCAGCAATGTGCACTTGCAGCCCAGAAGGCAAATAACTGTATCCTGGGCTGCATCAAGAGAAGCGTGGCCAGCAGGTCAAGGGAGGGGATTCTGCCCCTCTACTCTGCTCTGGTGAGACCCCACCTGGAGTACTGTGTCCAGTTCTGGAGCCCCCAACACAAGAAATACATGGGTCTGTTGCAGTGGGTCCAGAGAAGGGCCACAAAAATGATCAGATGGCTGGAACACCTCTCCTGTGGAGAAAGACTGAGAGAGTTGGGGTTGTTCAGCCTGGAGAAGGCTCCAGGAGACCTTATTGCAGCCTTTCAATATGTTAAGGGGGCCTATAAGAAAAACAGAGAGAGGCTTTTTAGCAGGACCTGTAGTGATAGGACAAGGGGCAATGGTTTTAAAGTAAAAGAGGGTAGATGTAGACTAGGTAAAAGGAATACATTCTTTACAATGAGGGTGGTGAGACACTGGAACAGGTTGCCCAGAGGGGTGGTAAAGCCCCATCCCTGGAAGCATTCAAGGTCAGGTTGGACGGGCAGCCTGATCTAGTTTAAGGTGTCCCTGCTCACTGCAGGGGGGTTGGACTAGGAGACCTTGAAAGGTCCCTTCCAACCCAGACCATTCTGTGATTCTATAAAATTGAATATACATCCCTGACTATGGGATTGGCATTGTTCTCTGCTCACTGTTGTTAAAAGCAGCTCTACGTTTATATTAGTTGAATATATATATAGAGAGAGATCTTTGAGTTTCCCAGATGCAAGCACACCCTCCTGCCTCTGTATTTACTGCATGTAAGCTGGATGCAATAGTTACTTGATGCAGACATTTAACTGAAGTTTCAACTGAAGTAACACTAAGAAGCAGTCCAGTAGTTCACATTTTTGCTGGGTGTATATGAAGTGGTTTATTTAGCTTGAGAAACAATGGTCTTTTTTCTTATGCATGTGTACAAACATGTGTAGGATTACTGCACTCTCTTTGTTTGAAGATCTCAGGTTGAAAGTGGTCCTCGGGGGGTGAAAAAAAAAAGAAAAGCCTAGGACATGGATATTTTTCTGAAAGCATGCTTGTATACATGCTTGAATGTGGTTTTGAAAACATTTGTTGATAATGCTATCTTTAAATAGATAGAGCAGTAATTTGGGTAATTTGTTAACTACAAAAACTGTTGGGAGGGGAGATCTTCTGGGCAATTTTTGCTTATGCTGGTTCAAATCTGAAATGGTTTTTTTTCTGTCATTGCAGATTTTAGTTAAATTTGAAAGTAGTTTTTATCACTAGAAAAAGCTTTTATTGACTTAGGCTTGTTGATTATTAATCATGAGGACTTCATGAGGTTGTACATTTTTGCAAGTGACTGTGTCCAGAAGTTTGGATTTAGTTTTGTGTTCAGATTAGCAATTTTACAATGCAAATGCTACAGTTTGTTTTAAACTATTTCAGAACTTCAGTAGATATCTTCCATTAGTTCCTTGAGAATATTAAGGATTTATCTGAATGAAGGTGTGAATCCCAGAATTTTGACACCTATTTAAAATCTTTGAAAATTTGACAGTAAAAGTAACATTTGGAAAAAAGTAAAAACATGGCATTCTGGAACTACATAATTTTTAAACCTAGTAGTAAAGTAAATTTGCAATCCAGTGCTCTGGATCTCTGTTTACTTACATGGCCTATCTTTTACTTGTTCCTTTGTTTTCTTCAAAGCAGAATTAAGCAATGCCTGGAAAACAAACAAAGCTTGCTGAATTAATGTAATACAGTCCTATTCAAGCAGTTAAATATATATAAATGAATTCGGTAATTAAAGAAGTGGAAGTTACTCTTCACAATTAGAATATAATTGCATGTACATTTAAAAAAAAAGTATTGAAAGTGAATGTAATCAAGTAGGATGTTTAGGCAGATTATCTTGAGCAATTTCAGGGCAGAATATCTAGCCTCCTAACAAGACAAAAACAATCACTTGGAGGTGAATTGCTAAAGCAGTTGGAAAAGACGTGGTGGTTGGCTGATCCGTAAAGAGGTTTCTGAAAGTCACCAGTAGAATTTGCCCAACTCTGCAAAACAGAAGTGTTGTTCAGACAGTAAAGCGGTTTCTTATTTCCAGGATACTCAACAGTAAAAATGACAGCTTTTTACAGCATGTGTCAGGTAAGTATTCACTATCTACACAACTTCAGGACCAGTGTGTAAAAATTTCAGCTAGGGTGCTACATTTATTCCAGTAAGAGATGTGAAAGTGCCTAATTTATAATCTATTGCAAATGTAACATGCCACACACTCAATAGTAAATATTAAATATGATTTTTTTTGGAGTAGGTCTTTGCAAACCACTGTTCAGTTTTTGGACAGTGATGTCATCTTCCAGCTCAGGTTTCCTAGCCGTGGAAGTATTTGAAGAGTGTAACAGCCTATGCAGTCATTAACAAGCTAAGTTAATTTAAGCTAATGCTTAAAATGATCTGACCTCATAAAAATGTTATCTAAGAAAGCAAGCCAGAAGTCCCTTAGAAGTCTTGAGGACCTGCCTGGAGAGTTAGGGCTGTGAAACCTTTAAAAGAGAGGATAAAGGAGCCTACAATTTTTGTTTAACAGATCTGATACTAATATAGAGCATATTTTATTTTATATCTAAAAATGAAGCAACTAGATCTAGTGAAAAAAATAAGGGGAGAATGAATAGTTAAAATCTGCAGTTGAAATTTCTGTTTCTTTCTTTCAGCTCTGTCATCACAGAGAACACAGGGCAATTGAGAAGTTACTGAGTTATCTCCTGTGAAGCTTAGTTCTTCTGTAGCCAAAAGATGAAGTGAGAAGTTCCTCCTGTCTCTTCCAATGACAAACATTTCTGGTTTTAGCTGTTCTTCCTTCTCAGGCCAGGAGCACAGAGAAGAAAAGATGTTTAGAAATCACTGTGATGTTAGTAATTAAATTTAGTCAAGTATTTTCAAAGACTAGAACACAATTAAGTTGCATTTTGCTTTTGAAAAACAAATTTATACCTGTAATTTTCATCAAATCTGAAGTGTCTGAAATGCTGCTATATCTGAAATGGCACTATATACCTGGTAAATTTGCTGGTAACTGGACTCAGGCAAAGCACTAGACATACTTTGGTAATTAGGACTTCCATGGCAGATAACAAATGCTCCAGCATACTACAATTATGTGTCCCCTTCCAGGCAACCTGGAGCTGTAAGATTTCTGAGCAGCTCCTCAGAAATTCCATACGATTTCCGATCTTCATGGAAAAGTTTGCCTGCAGAGCTGCTAGCCTTTGCTTATTTTGTATCTTACTTTTGTGATGTATTACTTCTTGACAGATTTGTTGTGAATTATTAAAGGACACTTTAGTGATGAGAAGTCAGTGAGGATTGTGTAGTGATATAAGCATAGTGTGTAATGTGTATGCACTGTTTTCATTTGAGGATTTTTGTTGCCTTGCAAGCGTTTGATCAGCCAAGTAGGAGCATTACAGAGGTGATTATATATAGAGTCCACTTCACAAGTTATCCCATTTGGGCAGAGAGATGTCAAGATCGTTGGAATATATTATGTCAGGAGTATACTAAAATTTAGTGATAGTATACAGTACTGGCACTATATTGATAATATTACATGTCATACTATGGACTAGGACTCTGTTTGCATGCTTATTTGCCATGAAGTGGTGGCTCTGTGTAAACTAGTCTGAAATTCTAGTGGATTTCAGTTCACCCAGCTGAGGTTTCACCCTTTCACTGTGAAAGAATTAAGAAGCTGTTATACACCCTTATTTCTCCCTTTGTGCCTGCCTACTTGTGTGTGCCACATTGTGACTGGAGCCATGGTGATGAAGGTGCTGCTCTAAAAGGTTTTGCGAGGCTCTGGCTGCTTTATGTGTAAGTGACTATAGCACGTACTAACTTAGAGCTGCAGCATTCTCACTCTTTAGGTGTTGCAATGCACATTTTTAGTTTATGCATTTAGATTTAAGCTACCAGAAGCCCCTGGGATTACTGAAAGTTGCTGTGGCATTGTCTTTCTGTAGTTGAGACTTTGGAATACATAGGTGAAATAAATATGTCTTAGTATGTTTTAACAAAATGTAAAACATTCAATAAGAGAAGTTTAGTGTAAATTGTGGCATGATTTTTAGGCAGGAACATACCAGGCTTGTGTTTATGAACACTTACAGTTGTGTCTGCATTTTAATCTAATAATATAAATACAGAAAGATTGCATGGTAGAATGAGAAGGAAGCCATTTAGCTATCAGTTAAATTATAAATGTTTTGGATCAGGAGCCGTTTCAAATCTCTATTCTGAGATTTTCTGTAATTTTTTGGATGTTATAATTTTAGTTGTTTGCACATATAATTCTTGGAAATGCACTTACTAAATATGCTGTCCAGGTAGGTTGCAGATTTTTAAAAATACCTACCATAGAAAAATAGAACTTGCTTCATGCATGAGATTGAAAATATAGCTTTCATTCATATCTTTATGTCACGTGGTATGAACTAGAAGCTAGGCGTTGCTTAAGGAAGGTGATATTATTAGATTTATTTTAGTATCTTTTCCATTCTGAGTGTGTTGATAAGGTTCTCTTTTTCCCACTTTGTCTTGTGACCTGATCCCCAGGCTGGGCAGTGAGTGTTTTTTAGTAATAAAAATAAATAATAATGTAACAAAACAGTAAGGCAGTTCCTCACTGTACTTTGTCTTCATTATCGATCAGTCCATTAAAATTAGTTCAGTCTTCCAGGGGGTTCACAAAAGAGCCAACATTAGCAGGCATTTGGCAGCAAGCAGATGACTTGTTTCTTGAAGTTTCTGCTGTTTAGTCTGTTTTTTCATTATCTGGCTGTCTGCTAGGTCTGAAATCCCATTGCAGAGTTTTCCTGAGAGACATTTCAGACTTGATAGCAGTTTCTGACTCGTAATTCAATTCAATGATGGGACAACAGTAGTCTGTGGCAACGTGGGACTTTTGGAGTGTGCATCCTCTCTACTGGATTCCCTGGGTGGTACCTGCTTTTCACAGGAGAGGGGCATGTGAACAAATAAGCTAACAAAACAAAGAGAACAGAAGGTCTCTGTCTTTTCCTGTACCATCCTTATGTACCCACAATTTGGAGTGGCTTCCTTGATGCCGCATGTTTATCGTGAATCAGGCAATTGAAAAACATACTGTGCTTTTTGGCTGTTTTATCCTGACCCTCCCTCCCATTTTCTGTGGGGTCAGGAACTGTCCAGGGGAAAATGCCAAGCCAGTCTTCTGACTTCCAAGATTTTGGGATGCTCTGTGGGCTTTCTTGCTCCATACAAAGGCTGCAGATAAGAGGAAGTTGCATTAGTATGTTAACGGCTTTTTGGTTGATGAAGCTTCTCCTTAGAGATCTGGCTGATGTTTCATCCTGAAGACTGATGCTGCTTTACAGAAAAAATGTGACTGATTTAGTTCCTCCTCTAACTGGAAAGATGTAATGGCTATATGGTGTCAAGTGGGTTTTTTTCCTGAGTTTATTCAGCTAACTGCTATTGTTCCCATAGTTAACCACTGTGGTAATTCAGTAAAAATTACTTTGAATAAATTAGTAAAACCCAGGTTAATTTAAATGTACAAAAATAGCTAAAGAAAGGAAGTACTTTGTAGTAGTGTAACATCAGCTCACTGACGTAAGGGAAGCTTTGTGCAAATTCTAACCACCATTAATGTCATCCTGCAGCGCCAGACAGCAGTCTTGAAAGTCTGAACGTTTTTCTTAATAATAGTGCTGAATTAGAAGAACTTCTTCAGCAATTATGTTTCCCTCTTGAAGTAGATTGTGTAGGATCAGGTACCTCCAAGTACCTCTGGAAATACCATAATTTTCCTATTACTGTGAAAATAATTTGAAGTACTTTTCCTTAAGTCTTAAGTGCATTCCTTCCTCACCCTAGCAATATCAGGTTGTGAAAGCCATGTAGTTTCATGGGGTATTCTTGTCTGCCCTGTGTAGGTTTTAAAAACACATATATGGTGTGTTGAGGCGGAATGAATGTCATATCTTCACCTTATCTACTGGAAGATGTATAATTCTACCACGTTTTGGTTAAAGGGAATGATAAGAATATATAGTTTTGCCTTAGAATTACCCTTTTTCCCATTCTGGAGACATAAATGTTCTAAAACAATTCTCTTAAAATTAAATAGTATGCTTAAATAATATATGATAGCAAAATTTAAAAATTCCTTGGAGCAGGTAAGAACCAAACTGAAAAACAAACAAGAGGAAAAAAAAAAAATACTATTAGCAAAATAAAATGTGGTGTCTTAGGTTCGACAGGGGAAGCTTCCTGAGTCTTCAACAAAATAATTTTTTTTTTTTTCCTTCAAACCGTTTAAAAGGTTAACTGGGCCTGGATTATTGGCCTGTAGAAACCTGTGCTAAATCTGTGAAACCTGTTACTTGAGAGAGTATTTTATTGAAATAATCACAGAGGCATTTCACTAAATTGAAGTGATAGTTTATATGAAGTGTATTTTTTTTACTCAGGGATGTGTAAAGATGTGTGAGTGTGTGTCTGTGTGTGGGCTTCTGGGTCACATGGTATGGTATGCCGTTGAAAGCTCCTGTGACTTGTGATGAAGACACATCAGGTTTTGTCTTCCCTCAGTAACATGGTTAGAAATGCTTAGAAGAGTTATTGCCATTTGAAGGTACCAGTTACTTTCTCCTTCAGGACTGAGTCTTAGTCTCAAATGTAATAATAATCTAACGGTAATTCCTGTTAACTGAACACTAATATGATGACACTTCCACCACTGAAAATGATTGACCTGTGTGGTGACAGTTTTATGTAGTGGTACTTAGTACGTAAAACTTTTGTGAAGTGTTTGAAGAACTTTAGGTTAAAATACTATGTTATATAATGCAAAAAACTGAAAGTCAGTATTTGAGGGTTTTTTTAACTTACGAGTTCAGGAAGATTTTTATCGTATTAACTGTCAAATTATCTGTTCTTTTACCAGAGTTTTCTTGTAAATTACTCTGCTTAGATTTACTACAAACAAAATGAGGATGCATGTCCAAAACCTAGCCTTCTTCGTAGAGGGAGAAATGGCAAAGACTTTAGCAGTTGAAGTTGTCTAACACCACTGCATGATTGATTCATTTTACTTCATCTACCTCTTTGTCCTTTTGCTAGGGAATGGCTTATGGATGCTTCATTTGTCTTTTTCTCCATGTTTTTCTGTTTTCTCCTTTGTTTTGAAAAAGGGTTTGGTTTGTTCTGTAGAGGTTGATTGCCAGAAGTGTTTGTTGAAGAAACTGTTTCAGTTGATGGAAGTTTTATGAAAGGTGTGGGGTTTTGAGAGGGAAGGGGTGAATAGCAATGAAAGTGGTAATTTGGGCTGTTACATGGAATTAGATATTTTGTCCAAGTTAATGTTAATGTTCATGTTTTTATGTTGTTTTTATTTGTTAGGCAACAGCTTAACAGTGATAGCCAGGCAACCTAAAGTTTATATATGGAAAATAGAAAATCTAGGTAGTAATTAAAAAAGAGATCACACCCTTTTTTTTGCCCCATACTATGATTTACCATAGCAGAACAAGTCTGTGTTAGTGTTAGCTTTGGGCTTTTTTGATCTATTTAGTTCTAAACAATGTCTACACTGTGCTGCAGGAATTGCACCGTCCCATAGCTTTCCTCTCCCCAAATAAACAGTGCATGTGTTCCATCTCATATGATGGCATCTTGTGTTTCATGAAGGGAAACTGTTTTTTATATACTTAATTTTCTAACTCAGCTAATTTTCTGACAGTTATTCACACTGGGTGAATTAGTTATCAGAGAGGAAGATAACTTTTTACTCTTCTGCCTGACATAAAAAAAATCTTATTTTATTGTTATTCAAAAATTATGTTTATAAAAAGAGGATTGGAAACTTCGGGATAGAATAGTAGGATAACTGTAACAAAGTACATTTATGAAGATTTGGATTCTATGTTTGAATTGTACACCTAACCTGCCCTGTTTACCTAACCTCCTCCTTTGGCATGACTCAGTGTCTCTAACACTTGCAAGAGAATCTGCTAGGGTGACAAGAAGTTGTTTCATCATATTTCTCTTGCTGTGTTTTTAAAACAGAAGCCTTTTCCCATTATCTGTATTGAAATTTTGATATAGTCTTTGATAAAAGCTTGTTTAAATGTTCTGGTTGCAGCCCTGTAGTGGTGACTTAGTATTATCTTAGAACAGTATGGGTTGTAAAGGACCGTAAGAGATCATCTAGTTCCAACCCCCTGCTATAAGTAGGGACATCTTCAACAAGACCAAGTTCCTCAAAGCCTCATCCAGCATGAGCTTTAACACTTCAGAAGAGGGGGCATCCACAACTTCTCTGGAGACTTAGTCTTCTATGTCTGGTGCAACTTAAAAGTAAATAACACAGCAGGAAAATTCAGGGCTCTGATTGCAGTGTACAAATAAAATTCTTATTTATTCACATACTTCCTAAGATTTTTCTGAGCCCTACTGAAAAAAAAAACCCAAAACCCCAACAAAAAAACAACAAAAAAAGCCCCCAAACCAACCAAACTGCATGTATGTAGACATTCATTATTCCAGTGTTTAGATATGTAAAAGTATTACAACTAGGGTTTAATGATGCATTTTAAGTAGATTAAACTTCCAACTTAAGTCACAAGATAACTTGTTTAAATCCTTATAATTTCATTGTACTGCACATAAGACATGGGTTAGGGTCCGTTATCCTAGGCTTTTTACAATGACCACTAGCAAAAAAAAAATTTTCTCCATGCAAACTCGTCTTTTTAGATTGTGTTACCTGTCTGTGGAATTCTTGTTCAAAGAGTTTATGCTATTTTTTTCTTTCCAAAGTTTAGAATGTGAAACAGGAAAGGGTGATAGTTCTGATTTAGGTAGTTTGAAGGATTATTAGCATTACACCAAGACTCAGCAGTTCATAGCACACTTTATGAATTGAAATGCAGTTCTTTGGTATAGCACCCCATGAAATCTCCTCCCTGTTTACTCTAGTCCATTCTGTGCTCTCAAGTTGCTCAAGGGAATCAACATCCTCTTTACAGTCATCTTACAAACTATTTGTGAGCTGCTGTGTAAAAACACTTTCCTACCTTGGACTGATTATCAGTCAGAAGTTGCTGTTTTCTGACATATTAAGGAACACATCTCCCTGCTGTCTAGTTTTCAAGACAGTGAAGTAGACTGGTATTATTCTCCTTGAATGTTATACCTGCTTCAAATACCTGCATGTTTGCAGAAGTCTCCAAAGCAGTATATCTTGCTATACAGCCCTATAAGGCAAAGTATTTGTATGAACCACACTTGTAGGTTACAAGTCACTGGGGTCTGAATCTGTAAATGGCTCATGTTGTTGAGCTGGCATAAATAATCATTTCTGCTTTTAAGCTGCATTATCAACAATTTCTCCCCCCCCCCCCATGGTCATGATGATGTCTTTGGAAGACTTCCATTCAGCTGCTGGACTGCTTGGATCTGATCACATGCCATTGCTCTCAATTCTGCAGTCAATGTAAATGATACTGTCCAGGCTCAACTAGTATCACTGTGCTTGTTCCTTTAGTTACTGACAGCCAAACACTACGGCCACAGGCTTTTTCTGTTTGTTTTGGGAAATCCTGTTGCAAAACAGATATTCCCTCCCACGTAAGAGAATTCTTTAAATGGGCACCTGAAAATCAGCTAGTTCACAGAGACCATTGCTACAAAGCAACATTGCCTGCTGCATCTCAAGCATGCTGCTTTCTCCCGTCGGAATTTATTGTGAAATAGACTGTGCTTTCTGCCTGATCTTCCTCATACAAATAGTTCTGGTAGGTTGGAGTGCTCATTTGGGAAAATCGCAGAGACTATTATCAAAAGGAATTTAAAAACATGGAACTTTTCTCATGCTTACTACTTTGATTGTAGCCACTGTTGCAGTATTAGTGAAGACTAAGTACTCAGTAACGTTTATAGTTGCATAAACTGGATTAATCTTGAGCCCTTAGATTTATTAATATTTGAGTCTAAAATGAAAAGTTATGTTCCAAATTTGCTATTTTTATTAGTGAAAGAAAACTAAAGCCAGTAGTTAGCAGTAGTGACACCACATATCATGTATGGTTTATTATTCTTCTGCATTAAATTTCTGCTTCTCCATCTCACAAGGTTTCACTAGAATTACTTTTGACTTCTACCAGGGAAACGAGAGAAAAAATGAGCTAGCTAATGGATGAGATCGTGTCTTTTCATCTCTCCAGAAATTAGAAGCCAGCAAATGATATTGCCTGACAAAGACTCTCAAAGAAAGAAAAATTGTTGTCTACAGGAAAGTATAGTACCTCTGGGAACAAGAAGGCATAGCTGAGGATTAATAAAGATTTGAATTCTATGTGAAGGGGCATTACTTTTTTAAGAGAAGCAGCACTGATGTGAAGAGTTTTATAACAGTAGGGTACAAGCTGTCATGAGTCTGCCCAAGCAAACCCCAGGGAAGCAGAAGCAGTGTTCACTGAGGAAATGCTGTTTCTTTTTAAAAAAATTGAATCAGTTTTTCAATGGATGCAACTTCTTGGCATATAGCATAGTTTATTTTTTAAGTTTTGTCACATAGTGCAAAGCCTTATTAGTTGTATGACAGAACAACAGGGCTGATAAATAAAACAGTGCAACATCTTGGACAACTTCGTAGTAATAAGTCTAGATAGGTACCTGAATAAAGTAATTACCTTTTAAGATTTTCTCTTCTAACAATGTAGAATACTTGAGCACCTGTTATGAGAATGTTTAGGGAACTATTGGAGAAATAACTTCTGTCATGACGGATTTCAGATAAAAGCTTTTGGATAGTAAATTAGTCTTTTAGCTATGTTAGCATTTTGACATCAGTTGACTCTAATTTCAGAGCTCAAGTACAAATAAAAAATAAATATCTGAATTATATTCTTTTATCAGTTTGTTATAAGCTGTGGGAAAATATTCAGGGCATCATTCTTTTGGAAGTACTGAAGGGCAATAGAATACAGAATGGAGCTTGATAAGTTGTAAGATAATAATAAAAAGAAAATTACCCATTTTCACAAGAACATTGGCATGTGTTCAGTACAGTATCATTTCTTGTTATTTGCTGTGGGAAGGTAGGGACCCTTTGTGATTTGTCCAGACATCTTGTGAATGCATGGACGTGATCTGGAAGAAAATACCCTTTATTAGAATTTAGGAGATTTGTTCTGATAACAGAGAACATACGTTCTCCTTTACCTCTAAGACACACATTTTTCACATTGAACTTGGAGGTTTTTATTTCCTCTTGAGTAAAACAGTTCAAGCTTATAACATTTTATTAAGTAATAAGCAGTAGCATCATTCTTCTGGACTGTCTGAAAAGGGGTGTCAGGATTGTATGTTATGTAGAGAATAAATTTATTAAAAAATAACAAGAACACTCCTTCCTTCACCTAAATTAAAGTGGAAAGATATTTGTGTCCTCACCTCAGATGCAGACTAGATATAAGTTGAATCCCTCAGCGTTTTTGCTTAACCAGGTTTTTGTTGGTTGCCTTCTCTGAATGTGTGTGTACGTATGCATGTGTATATATTTCCACACAGATGCATACATTCATGTATTTGTTACTGAAATGTGTACATAATACTTCCAGGACAAATTAGAAATCATTTTGCTGTATTTCTTTGGTAGTTCTGACTCCATAGGCTTTAACTAAATTTTAAGTATTTAGGAAGGTGATGGATTTATTAGGATTTTTTTTCCTATCAGCAACTCCCAATTTTAGACGTTACTTTTTAAGAATCTTCATAATTCATAGTACCAATTGAAACTAGACAATATTTCTAATAATCTTGCTTTTCTGTTTTAGTAGTAACCTCTGTTATGTTTGTGGTAACATTAAAAACTATTTTTATCAATCTTTCTGAAAGGCACATTCCTTCCCTCCTTTCCATTCTCTCAACTGCCATCAGAGTCTAAATCTGTCAAGTTGGTTAACTAGTCATAATTTAAAAAGCATGTTCAATTTACTCTGAGATTGTACCTGAAAAATTACAAATGAAACCGTTCTTTAAAAATGAACTTAATTAAATAAAAAGTCTAATGTGAATGCTTCATCTATTTCATACAAATTGTACTGGATTAGAGAAAGCATGTGGGCCCTGAAATAAGTGCCCATATGTAGGTTTATTAATTCACTTTCTGTCCTAATATTGTATTCAGCACTGTATGTCTTTGAACACACTGCATCATCACTCATTCATAATTTACTCGGTACTTATTCATTCACCATTTACTTTAAGGTCTTCCCCAGTAAATGAATGTTTCTTTTTACTTCCTACACCATCAACAAGTTTGTTTGCACCAACACAGCTTTCAGTAAAATATCCATCTATTAATATTTCGGGGTTTTACTGTCTTCTCTGTCTTTGTTGTGCAAATATCCTGGGTTCAGTTGCTAATGAGTGGTTCAGTTGGTAGAATGGATGGTGGGTATTCTCTTTAGCATGAAAGGTAAATAATAAGCATATCAATGTTGAGATCTATATACTTTCCATTCAAGTGTAAATTTTTTTCTGTTCGTCATTTCTGGAACTTCTGATAACGGTTGTCTCCTTTTTCATTCTTCACAACCTTCCTCGTGGTACTTGATTTTTCAAATTGCGTATACACATTGATGATATGACCAATATGAAAAATTATTTCTGTTAATCATGTTCACTGTATATGACCTATCTGCAAACATAGAAAATGAAGTAAATTTTACTGTTTTGTTTGTTTTGAATTAGGCTCATGCACAGTTAGTTCGAGAAGTTGATGTAGAGAAGGTGTCAACTTTTGAGAACCCCTATGTAGATGCAATAAGAAGCCTATGGAATGACCCTGGAATTCAGGAGTGTTATGATAGAAGACGGGAGTATCAATTATCAGATTCCACTAAATAGTAAGTACATGGTGGCTACAAACAACTATATGTTGTTTTCTGTTTCTAACAAAGTAATTTTTACTTTTTTAGCTTCTTTCGCTATATGTCTGTGTACATGTTTTATATGCATACGCAGCACAAACATAGTGGAATATACACTTACTAAATTGAATTCAGAGAATTTCAGAATTCACTTTAAGGAGTGGAGTACCTCTAGTTTAGGGTTATATCTGTGTTTATTTGACAGAATGACAGTCTGTGATAATTTTAAGTGTTAAAGTAAGATTCTGACCCAGGATAGTTACTCACTGACGTTTTTGTTTTCTTTTGTTATACCTGTTCAAGCCCTTACTCTCCTCTGACATACACTCGCAAGCGCAAGCTGGACAAAAATACTTTCATGTAGTATGACAGTAGTGAATAGTGGGAAGTACCATCACAGTAGACGTTCATACAATTAATAAAAATCCTGATGCCCCAGAACTTCGGCTTTCCCAGGTTATCTGCTTTTCCCTCAAGAGAATGCTTTTGCAGTCCTAGTGGTGGGCTAAATAGTACTAAGCAAGAATTTTTATGCTTTGTTGAGCTGCCTTTCTTTTATATAAACAAAGATTAAACTTCAAAGAACTTGACTGACGGGAAGACAACAGCAAAAGTGCTTCAAGTTATAACCTGTTTGTTACAGATCAACAATAATAAAAATGTGTATGTAACTAAACATATCTGAAATGTTATGCCTTTAGTTTCTTGGTGCAGGAATATGATAAAATAACCCTGTGAAATTTAACTTTGGAATCTGAGGACTTCTTGAAGATTGACTCCATGGAATTTAGTTACTCTTGAGTAATGTAGCATATATCTCAGATAAAATTTCTAGTCTCTTGTCGAAGACATGGATGATGGTAAGGGATGATGACCTTTTGATGTTGGCCAATGTTAAAAAATAATTACATAGTTAGTTATTAAAGCTGCAGCAAAAACCTCCATGGTGTCCACATTATTTTTTGTATTGGCTATGAAAATTACTCTGATGATATCACTCCAGTCTCCATTTGTCAGGTGTACATGAGTGGAAGCCTCTCACCGAGGAAAGAACTGAAAAACAGAAAGGCACCATGAAGCTCCCATTAAGCTCATTGGAACAGGGCTATAGACACGAGAGGTCTGGGATGACATTTATCTGCACAGTAGTCTGAGGATTCTTACCTAACACAACACTTCATATGTGATTTATCAAGACAAACTTATTAGTATCGTGCTGATGCATTTTAGGCAGCTGAAGAGCTACAGGTGCATGTTGTTTTTATACTGAAATGAGCATCAAGTGTAAGTAGAATGTGAAGCAGAGCTTGTCTTATACTTGAATTTCTTGGTTTTGTAGGTCCTAACTTTGTTTCCACAACAGATGTGAGACTGCTTTTAAAGTTGAAATAAATTTATGTATTTCATGTGCTTGTCTTAGAGGATAAAAATAGAATTACTTACTCTCTAAAGTAGGAAATAATCATGTGATGCTACTTCAGATCAGATAGTGCTGAATACATACTTTTTATCTAGTTCTAATGAAACTGTAACCATAGTGAGTCTTTTGAGTAGTATTAAAAATAGTAGGAAATAATTGATTAAGTAGCTGCAGACACAAAATTGCCAGTACATTGCCTTGCAAAAGGTAAATGCATTAGTTGACTGGCTATTTTTTAAGCTCAACACGTTCAGCAATTTAACGTGAGTTCTTGCAGATTTGGTGATACTAACTATAACCTGTTATAGTTCATACTATGGATTTCTGCATAATCTGTTTTAAATTAGAATTGTGAATCACTGTATATGAGTCTTTAGAAGAACCTCTCATATATTTATGCTTACAACTAGAGTTTTTTCAGGTATGTAAGTTAAAAGCAATTAGCAGAAACTGAAGACACATTGTTTCAAAAATGTGTATGTTTAGCAATAAAACACCCAAAGAGAATTTGTTGTCTTTAATCCCTGTTACAAAGTAAGAAAACAAAATGCTTAAATCACTACTGGGATTCACAAGGCAGTATGACAGAAATGAACACCCCAGTGCCCATTGACTTGGTGAGTCTTAGTAATTTCTTCTGACTTGATGTATAAACCAAAATGATTTATTGTCCACCAGATCTCTTGTAAGCATATGTGTCAATATTTGTAAGCATGTGTCAATATGTCACACATATTCTTCATTCATCCCTTGTATGAGCTTCTCATCTTCTCAGTAGTTTTCCAGTGTTTTTTATAGCAAGTTTTTTAGTCTGTTCCCTGTCAGTGTTTTTTAACCTGTCAATGTTATTTCACTGTCTTCCTAAATCTCTTCCTCTCTATTTGCTGTTTCTTTTATTGTTTCTAAATTCTACTTCTGGTTTCTAATATATTCTGTTTGTTTCTATGCTTTCACTTTCTGTCATCTTTTGACCTGCTTTGTCATTGTTAGTTACACTTTTGATATTTTTATACCCACTGCTAGTGCCTTGGAAGAATACATCAGGTGTGTGTTTACCAGAAGAGGTGAGGATAGGGTGTAAGAAAGAAAATTTCCTACATCGTGGGAGTTGATTTGAACCTCTTGGAGGCTCAGCAAGTACGTTCCATTCTCTTCCCTTGCCATTGGATGCTCCAGAGTTTGAGTTGTTTTGAAAAGCAGTTTATAATCTGTGCTAAAGTCAAGAGCACATCACATAAATAGAGATTATTCCCTTCTCATATACATTAAGGGGTGACTTAGCCACTTAATTACCACTAAACCACTTCCCTTTAAGACACCTTTCACAATGTGAGACAGATGTAAACCAACACCACACTGAGGATTGCCTTAGATAATACCTATGTGAGATGAGATTATTCAGTAGGTACTGTACAGGGTGTCACGACCTTAAGCCAAATGTAAACGGGTTACCAGTCAACAGTCTGATGATATGGCTTTTCAAAGCCTAAGAATGGCAAGGCAATGGTCTTACTGTTGTCAGTAAGAGAGACAGTTGTCATAAGTAACATTTCACATTTATTTTACAACTTGAAGAATTTGGATTGCAACTAAAATTTGTGGTGATTTATCACCATTTTTCCCCAATATGACACAAAGGGCTTTCCCTTAATAAAGGAAAAGTAGGAAGTGTTTAGGACTGGAAAGTGTCCCAGAGCCTTGCTGAAAAACTTTTGTCTTTCTCTGGCCTCATGAAATGGAAGGATTATGTCATTATGTACCTCCAACCAAGGACTTCCTAGTTGCTACACAATCACTGGAGATACCTGTTTAGTTTCCCTTCCCATGGCTGTGTTCTCTAACACTTCGTATAGTTAAATACAATTTTCCCTCAAGTTCCTGCCCTACTGTGTTAACTGTGCCAGTGGGTATTGAATACCCCACTTCTGTATTATGTAATGCACTGCTTTATTAGTTGTACATGCTATGACTTTCTCATGCTTACATGAGAGTTCTTCAGGCTTTTGTTTCTGCATTTGCTATCACCTTTCACAGTTTAGTTCCTACAGTTACACAGCTGTGCATATACTTGTGATCATGTGAGCTGAGGTAGCTGGACAGTTAGTACAGAAATGCAGATTCCAGTGTTTCACCAGAGCTTCAGGGTGTGACTCTTAAGGACATCTTCAGAATATTACTGATTATTAACAGGGAAGAAGGAGATTAATCCTAATGATGTCTGCTCGTTAAAGTTCATGTTTCACCTTTTGTAAAACCATTACATGAATTGTAGTGTTTTGGTCATCTAGTAATTTCTGTATGACTATATTCCATCTGAGTTTGAAGTTTCTTATAACTGGAGCTGAACAATTAATTCCTTCATACCTGTCTGGTAAAAATATCATTTTGCTTCCATGTTTCACTTGTGAAACGGGTACATTTTGATGGAATTACCATGTGCTAAATAGGATGTGCTTAGAGACATGCAAGGGGAAAGATCAGTGTATGAATCTTAAGTTTTTGCTACAGCAGTTTACTCTGTTTGCTGGTATTGCCTCTAGCAATCAGAACATTCATTCTTCTATTTCATAAAGCTATGGGGAATTCTTAGGACATCGTGGGTCTATGTGAGCCTTTCAGAAGGACTTATTCTGTCCTAAATTGAGATCTGCTATGCAGCTGACACTGGTGTAGCAAATTATGAAAAACTCTTATGTGGTATCTGTGTGACAGTCATTTGTTGGGGATGAGAAAGACATATTCTCATAATTTATTAGATGCATAAGCACATCATTATTTAACAAACATTTTAATAATGTTAATTGATTCCTTCTTCCCTTCATTTGTAAAAATATACTTGAAAGGTTCTAAAGCTGTATTTGGGGGCAGTTCGGGTTGCAGAATGGTAGATTCTGCTTGTATATGTTCACATTTTACACAGCCTTACTTGTTTAAGGTTGGCAGTAAGATAAAAATGGCAAATAAAAATGGAAGTCTGAAGATGAAGATCAAGTGCTAGCAGCAGAACCATGCTAACCCTACCTTATACCTTAGATGGGACATGAAATTTGCTGCATACTAAAGCATTACATCCTATAGAAAACTTGAATATTATGCAACAGAGCTAGGGTAATTCAGAAAGGGAAGGGAAAGTATTTCTTTCAGGATCCTTTTTTTAGTGCAGTACTGAACATGGTTTTAGTATCTGTATAAATTTTAAACTACATTTCCTATTAAGAGAAGTTTGCACAAATACTTTTTTTATTTGATGACTTGCTTTTTTTAGCCTTTACTAAGGTTGGTTTTTAGCCATGTAGGAAGTTGAGGGAGACAGCTAGGTAGGATTTGGGTGAAACAAGGATAAAAAAACCACAGTGCAGATTCCTTCCTACCTCACTGCAAAGATCCTAGGTTTACTCTGTTTACTTTAGATGAAGATTAGAGAGTTCTGGAAACTGGTAAGCATGCCTCAACTTTTCAGTAGTGCTGTAGAGGCTCAGAAATGCAAACCTCTACAGAAATTCTGAAAACACGGCCAGTACTTGGTTACACTTAGATTTGTTCATGGCTCGTGTTT